CTTTTTTCCAATTATGCACATATATACATAATTGAAAAGCCAGCCAGCAAGCAAGTGCAGCAAAGTAACTCAATTGGCTTCAGTAAAAGGAGGTTTGCAGAAGAGTTTTGCACTGGCAATAGTGAAGGACCTCTCCAAACAATGAAAATAAACCCAATTCCCATTATAAGAGTTTGAACTAGACTACATATTTTCCTATACTGAAATATAATTATCAGTTATAATTAACACAGGACCTATCAGATGAGGGAGAGCTGGGGAGATCAGAGGCTGGGTTTGGGGGCCATGGTGTGAATGCTGAGCTGCTCCTGGCTCCCCCTTTCCTTGCAGCCTTTCACCAGGAGTGAGATCATTGGATTCACCATCGGCTCCGTGTCCTCCGTGCTGTACCTGTGCTCCCGACTGCCCCAGATCTACACCAACGTGAGTGCCCGGCCCTGGGCACCCCCTGGGCCCTGACCAAGGGGGTTGCTGGGATCTTCTTTCTCCTCTTTGCTCAGAAGTCCCAGGACTGTGTCTCTGATGATTTCATAAGGGACTATTTTTCTGTATTTCTGGTCCAAAACCCAATTTATTTTTCTCCCTTCCCTTTAACCTACCAATATTTCGAGGGTGTGGCTTTCATTTTGTCTTATTTACAAGTAAAAGGGGAAGTAAAGGGCTCTTGGCATTGAGTCACCACCTTTTTTCTTCTCTTTTTTCGGGGAGAGGATGATTAATACCACTTTATTTAGGAGAGCTGCACCCAAGCCGCTCTTCTTGTGCCCGCTATTCCCAGTACAAGAGGAAATCCACCACTGGGATCTCCTACTCCCTCTTTGCCCTGGTGATGTTGGGGAACTCTCTCTATGGCCTCAGTGTCCTCCTGAAGAACCCTGAGCCAGGCCAAGGTGAAGGTGACTATGTCCTGCACCACCTGCCCTGGCTGGTGGGCAGCCTGGGGGTCCTATCTCTCGACGTAGTTGTATCCTTCCCCTGCCAAAACTTCCCTCTGGAATCGCACCCCACTGGCAAGGCTTTGCAGGGAGTGATCCTGCCCTGGAACAGGCAGGGTTAGGCAGGAGAAGGGTGGGTTGACGCTACTCAGGGATTGCTCACCCAAGTGCAGGTGAGTAATTTGTGGTGTTGCAACAGCTGAAATGCTTCAGCCCTTTGTTTGCATTGCCCTGATTCCACCTCTACTGGCACAAACACCCTTTGTGGAGGTGGTGAGACCCAGTTTATGACACAGATCCACCCTTGTGTGCGTGAAGAGCCTTAACCTCTCCTCAGATCTCCTTCCAGTTCCTTGCCTATCGGAAGGGAAGAGCCAGTACCCACGAGGAGAGGGATGCTCTTCTTGGAGAGCAGGGTGACAGCCTGGAGAGCTGACCAAGGGACCTGCCGGGAGCGAGAGGAGGAGGATGCAGATGAAGAAAGTGCTTAAACACCGGGTAAACCAGCCCCCCCCGGTGGCTCTTGGGAGAAGAGGACCTGAGCCAGTGGTCCTCTGACTTGTGCTGCAACAACAGTGGCAGAGGATGCTGCTGTTTGAACTTGTGCCTCTTTGATACCAATACTATTGGGATAAAAGGGAATTATTTGATACCTCAGTTGCTCTTTGCTGCTCTGATGCCCCACAGCTGAGCCTGGTCACTGCTGTGTCTCTCAAGGGAGATCTGGAGCTTCCTTGGTGCTTGGCAAACATGGGAGGAGCCTGAGTGGGGAGGGGACAGGGATGACGGACCCACAGCAGCACTGTGGGCCTTACAACTCCCCCCCTGAGCTTCTGGAAGACACACAGTGCCTGGATCCAGTGGGGAAGGAGCAGCACAACCAAAGTGTTCGTTCCTTGGACACCTATTTTAATTAGCACAGCTATAAACCACGTCCTTCCCCACGTGCCTCCTTTGGTTTCGTTTTGCCAGTTTACCTGGCAGCTCCTGCCTCTTTCTTAAAGACTTGCACAGTCCCAGTTCTCTGACTTCTCACTTTTTTGCCTCACCCATGTTTTAATTACATGGAGTCCTTGGGGAAGTTGCTCTCTCTGTTACCCAGCAGAAGAGCTGCCTCTCTGCTTCCTCTGCTTTTCAGTCCTGCCCTCTCTTGTTGATGAATTTATCCCCCACTTGATGAGTTTATCCCCAACACTGATGAATTTATACCCCTCTTGGGGCCCTGCACATCAGTACAGTGGCTCCCTGACCACAGAGGGACTGGAAGCAGGGGTGGTTTGGGAAAAGCCGTGTCCCCGGGAGAAGAGCACGGAGGTGGAGCCACACAATGGATCAGCCCAGCACTCCAGGTTCCCTCCCATGTGCTGAGCTAGGGATGAGCAGCTCAGTCTCACCAGGAAAGCAAGAGGAAAACCAAACAAAGCTTGTAAGGCCTTCAGGAAAAACTAACACAGCTTGTCCTTGTGAGAACAAGAGCTGTCCTTTCCCTGCAATCACTAACAGCTCTTCCTTTTGCTTCCCTTTTCCCCTCTGATACCCAGTGTTGTACTCTATTATCATTAATTTATGATTCCTCTGCCAGGCCCATGACATTTGTCTTTCCCAGGAAGTTGCCCTCCTTGCTTGTTTGTCCTCACACTGAGGACTCCCAAGCCACAGCTCCTCGATTACACAGCTCAGCCTGGAAACAGGAGTCAAAGTCCTCAGTACCCAATCGACCTGCACCAGCAGGTCAATTAAAGCACAAGCTGGGCCAGTATTTGGGGCTGACCCATTCATTTTGGAAAGAAAAAGTATTTTTCGGTCTCTGTGAGCCCTTTGAAACAAATCAATTCATGATTCTGCCCCTCCAGGTTCTCAGGTGAAGGGGCTGCTCAGCTCATCCTCGAGCCAGCAGGATTTCCTCTCCTGTCATTCCTTAGGAGTCGTAGAAAAACAATTCCTATCCAGTTCTAATCCAAACTATGAGCAAATCCCTCATCTCCACCATTTAAAATTGCCACATCCTGGCTAACCAAGGGCTTTTCTTAAAGCTGGACAAAGAACCTCCAACATAGGGAGGAAAAATTATACATATAAAATATAATTTGTCCCCATAGGTGGATCCAAAGCACAAGTTGAGTACAAGTGGGTTTACTCTTACTTGGGCTACAGAGGATGGAGCAGGGTGAGCAGCTGTTTGGCAGAGGGAGGTTCCACACCTGCTGCCATCTCAGGCGGTGGGTACAAATTCCTGCCACTGACACTTTCCCTGAGGTTTTCATCCCTCCAAGTCACTACTGCAGCCCTGTTCCTGCAGGTTAAGATTTTGCAGAGGTACATATTAAACCAGAAAGGCAGAGCAGAAACAAATATCCCAGAGTGAGAAGGTAAATGAAAACCTCAACACACCAGCCTTCCCCCTCCTGGGTTTAAGAATTCACACAAACTCATCTCCAGTTTCAAAAAAGGTTTTTCCTTGGACAGAACCAAGAGAAAATGACCAAATCTCAATGTGTTTCCCTGGGGGATCCCAGCTTTGAGGCAGACAGGTGTTGCCTTCCCCAGCCTGTGTCCCACAAGGAGTTCCATTATGGACCACAAGCCCCAGGTAAACACTGATCACCTGCGGGGTCTGGGGGTGAAACAGGTCATGTCAGCCAAAATCAGAGCACATTAATCAATGTTAATGCCAACAGTGTCCATTTGCAGAGGTTCACTCAAAGGGTAATTTCAATGGCCATGGACAGGAAGAGCCCAGCAGGTATTTATTTCCTTTCCTAGTTTGCCCAGGATTAGGTTTGGAGCAGTGAAACCAGAGCTGTGCAAGGTCCCTCTGCCCACCAAGAGGTTCAAGAGGAGACTCTGGGTGAGGTTCACAGATGACACAAGGACCAAGCACAGGAGTTTTTGGATCAGCACTGATGGGTGGAACCATCTACCCCAACCTATCGAATGCTGCTCCTCTGCCACCGCCCTGCTGGACACACTGACCCCCCAGCCTGTATTTAACACACCTCTAAATACACCTGTTCCACATTGCTGGATGCCTGGAGCCTCAATCCCAGCACCCTGGAAGGGCAGCAGGCCCTTGAAGAGCAGTGGGACATCACACCCTCTTCAAAACAAACACATTTCAGCTCATCTGGATATGAGACAAAAAACAAATAACCCTGCAAGGAAAGCAAGAGAAACAAGGACACCAACCACAGACACTTCTTCCTGGGATTTTTTTTATTTTTATTGTTTTAGTCTTTTTTTTTCTTTTTTTTTTTTCCCATTTTTTAGTATGGAGGCTCAAGTATCAGATGTAGATTCAATTTAAGCTTTACAAAAAAAACCAAAAAATCAAAACAAAAACCCCTTTTGCATTCCATAAAAATTGACAGAAAAGCGCCTTGGAACCAGAAAAGAAAGAAGAAATTTTCAGCAGGTCTCCAAATCACCATCTCCTGCACATCTGGGTGAGTCAGTATCGTACAATCCCAAGGAACACCCTCTCTTCCCTCCCTCCCACCAGCCAGCCCTTGTGCCCAGCCCCCAAACATACGTGGAATAGATTATTTTTCTTTTTTTTTTTTTTTCCAGTTCTTCCTCTTTCACACACCACAGTATTTAATAAATTTTTGTTTTACATTTTTTACACCAATGTAACAAAAGGCAGGAGGGGGGTGAGGGAGGAAAAGACAAACAATGATCCGTGGTGATGCATATAAACGGGGGAGGGTGGGAGACAGGTGGGGGAGAAAAAAATAATACATGGACTTCTACAGAAACATAGCCTAAGGTCTTGATAGTAAAATGTGGTGCAAAGTAGGCCTCAGAGACTGAAAAAGTTTGTACAGCTTTATTCATGGGGAGAAGATGGCGTTGCATGGAGAGTATTGGATGCAAATTGTGATGTGACGGAACAGAAAAGGGCAGGGGGGATGAGTTCTCTACCAAAGGAATCTAACGAGTGCATGGCATGTCTGGTTAGCACGGAGAGGATTTTAACTTTGCTGCTTTCTCTTCAAAGCCTCCACCAGGTCGTTTTTAAGAGCTTCTTGTTTTGATTTGTCTGCAAAAGTCTGCACAGACCTGCGAGGAAGAAGGAAAGGCGTGTCAGAGGCGCTGAATGGAGGGGAGGGGTTGGGGACAGTCCAGGCATGGAGGCAAGAGGGAGGAGAAGCACCTCAGCCCAGGCCCAGAGGGAACACTCAGCTCTGCCTGTTGGACCACAGGAAGCAGAAGACAATGAACACCTGGGTGAGGACATTAAAGCAAAACTCACTCCAGCAAGGATGGCACCAAAGGCTTCCCCGGCAGCTCCAGCTGCTGGAGGGAGATTTCCAACATTTTATGTTACAGAAGAACCCCAGCATCCCACCAGCAAAGGGGGTTAGTGCTCTTGCTCTCCAAAAGTCCAGAGAAAATCCAGCCTCCACCCGAGGAGAAGGGAAAGGCAGGGGGAGTCCCTGCCCATCCTGCAGACTGTTCACCCAGGGTCGAGCGGCCGCCTCAAAACTCCCCTCGGTGTTTGCACTGGTGGGAAAAGCAGCCAGAGGTTCTGGGCTCAAATTTGCCTTCTTTTGTACCTTCTCTAAGTAATGAGTGATCAAAGCAGCTGAAGAAGAACAGAGATACTGTCACAGGATTATTGCAGAGGTTCCCTTTGGATAGAAGTACAGAGGAAAAGCTCCATCTTCCAGGAGTCCCTCGGATCAGTGCCCTGTGAGATGGCTGTAGGGGAACCACTGATTCCAATGGGACAACAAGAATTTTCCCACTTTTAAAAAAGACCCTCTTAAATGTGATCATGATAAGAACGATAAGACCAGACTTTTCCAGAGTTGCTACCATGGAGAAGTGGTAAGAATCCAGTTTGGTAAGATATTTCCTCACCCAAACCATATTTCACAGCCTTTTCAGTACTCAGTACCTGGGATAGCGGAAAGTGTCCCTGCCCATGGCAGGGGGATGGAACTGGATGAGCTTTAAGGGCCCTTTCAATCCAAACCAGCCTGGGATTATATGATTCAAAGCCTTATTTTCCCTGGATGCTGTCTCCTGTAAACAAGACTGCTCTTTATGGTGGATATTTTCCTACCATTTTTATAACAGTATTTCCATTCTCTTGTCTCTGGAGACTTCTGCTGCTTTAATAAAAACACATACATTTGATATTTGCATTTGTCACAGGCTGAAGAAGTGGTTCTTGGCCATTATCAACAAATAGTGAGTTTTCCCCTTCGTCAGCTTAATGGGTTTAAAACAACATCTGTAATTCATTAGAGGTGGAGTGGGGGGTTAAGGTGGCCCAGGGTTAGTCACTGCTGTGCATCCTCGACACTCAGAGCTCCAGAGCAAAGGAGAGCAGAGGAACAAACCCCTTCGGAGGCCGTGCAGAGCACAAGCAAGTGGAGGCTGGGAATGTTTGAGTGAGCTTGAGCAGGACTGGGTTTCAAGCTCCAAGGAAATTCAAGATCCACCAGGCAAACAGGGGATGTGCATGTGAGCTCTGAACTCATGGGAAGTACCAGTTGGGTTTTTTCCCAAACTGTGAGACTCCCAAGATTTCATTCTGCAGGGAGGACATTAAGATTACAGGGAGTTCCATCCTGGAAGTGGTGTACGGAGCTGTAAAAAACTGCTGGTGCCCAAGGGACAGAGTCCCAAGGCTTCTGGATCAAATCAGCCCAATCCAACACTGCTCCAGGTACCACGTGCTACTTTCCTGCTCCCAAGCCAGAGTGCAAAGTGGTAAATCCTGCCACAATTCCGAGCGCAAGGCTTCAGATGGGGGGACCTGACATTTGAAATGGAAATCCCAGTGTTTAGTTGCCCATATTAGGAAACAACCCGTGGGTGGAACCCGGCCGACGTCGCCGCTCAGTCTGCGGGATTAGGGGTTAGTTCTGTCCCGTTACCATGCAGGGCTGGGCTGGGTGAGTCCTGGTTTAGTGCTGCTCTCACACCTCACAGGCAGCGAGGGGTACCTGGATTGGTTTAGTTATCAGGCTGGATGTAGATCTGGCGCTGGGTCAACACTTGAGAAAGTTCCCTCTGCAACTGCTTATACTTTTGGTTGTCAGGAATAGCATCGATAGATCTACAGAGAGCAGTCAGAAACCAGGGAGCAAACAGGGAAAAGAACAGTCAGAAGAACTCAGGCACACAGATCCGGGATGCTGGAAACCGCCAGGGAAGGAGTGTAAAAACACAGGTTAGGAGGAGCAGGGGAAGGCTGGAGCCAACGCTCCGTGTGTTACCAGTCCTGAGCAGATCCCAGCGCTGCCCACAGTGCCAGGACTCACTGAGGGATGGGAGACACAGCAGGGAGTCAATACAGCAGCTGAAGGCAACGTTCACAGGGAAAATGACTCTATTACATATTTCCTCGACTGTTAATAAATGTTTCCTGGCTAAACCCTGCACAGCACAAAGGGAAACAGGTCTGTGACGAAGGCTGGGGTTTGGGACAGGACCCAGACCGGCTGCTCTCGCAGATACTGCAACTCCCCCTGCCCATGGTGCAGCACAAACAATTAGCACTTTTTTTCTATCTTCTTCCACATGCCAGGCTGTGAGAAAACATCAGAACACTTATTTGTGCTGTTTATTCCATATTATCACACTGTACTGGAAAATCTCTCTGCACTTAAAACGAAATAATTTGGCATCTGTTTTGTGCTTCCCTCTAGGAGCAGAACTACCAGCCTGGGATTCGTATGTCGAATTCCTGTCCAGGGATGGGCAGGGGTTGAAAAGTACAGCACAGTTTCCCTACAGAAAGGCACAGGGGATTTATTCCTTTAATCTCTTCCAGTACACTGTATTTTGACCAGTGGTGTTGAGAGAAAAGACAGAATTTAAACCAAAGTCTAAATACCACAAACCACTCACATCATAACTTAATTCTGGGACTGTTTTAAAGAATAGCAGAAAGAGAAGTCAGAATTCAAGTACAACTTCCAGGACTGTGAAGAATAAACCCTCTAATTAAAAATAATCCTGAAATACAAGTGTTGTTAGCTGGGCTATTTTCCTCCTGGTGGGGGAACAAGGGATTAAAACACTGCTTCAGATTTCTACAGTAGAAGTGTTCTCTGAACTTCATGCAACAAATAATGTTCCAAAGCTCAGGGAGGGGAAACAAAAGCAAATCAAGGCTAGGGGTGGCATCACAGGGATGGGAAGGGGGTCCCACTCCCAGTTGGAGTTTCCTTACCTCAGCCCATTAACGATGTCCTTTGTTTTTCCAAAATAAATCTCATTCAGTGTACTTCTGATTTTGTTTTCCATGTCCTGCAAAAGGGTATGAAATCCGATCAGTTTTCAGGAATGGTGCAGCGCTTACACTACACCCATCACACAGGCCCAACCTGGTGTATTCCTATGATTTAGAGCCTCACCAAACACACTCTGACCCCATCTCTCTGCTCTAATTAAAGAAATAAAGGCTTTTTTCCCACTCTCTCCTCCCAGTTAACCACTCCAGGCCGTGGGATCTTTCTCTGGACCACGAGAGGGCAGTTTCTCTCCAGCTATCCACGTTCTGCACAAAAGGAAAATGCATCTCACCCCAACCTTCCCCTGCAATTTCCTGGGGCATTGAATGGGCTCAGAGTGCCAAGTCAGTCAACTGGGGATAACCAACAGTCAATAGTTTTGTGCTTAGGGATCACTTTGAATTTTTGACTTGTTCTTTAAAGCTGCATGACAGAGAGTTTTGAGAAAGAGAACTACACAGTATTTTTTCATTAGGTTGTTTTCACTCAAGCAAAAAACTTAGAAAAGGGATCAAAAAAGAAGCAGCTGCCTTTCTTTAATTTCCCAGTTCACATAAAAATGCATTATAGTCTGTTTTAGTTGAGAATTTCCTCCTCTCTGGCCATAGTGGCTATGAAAATCAAGGAAACTGGGAACATCTCCATATAGGACAGTACAACGAAACAGCAAAACAGTGCTGCACCTTCTGAGCAGCTTCACCCCTTGTGCTGAGCTTAGAGGACTGGCAGCTGCCATAAAATCCAGCACTAAACCCAGTTCCAGGGGATTTAACAAGCACTTGATACACACGGAACTTTCAGCTCAAGGAGAGTTGTGTGTAACAACCTAACTTGAAATAATTCTTCCAAAAGTGACTGCAAAAGCAAGCATGGGGGTAGGAATTTATTAATTAGCTCTCAGGTTAGGAACTTATTTTCCAGGATGATTATTGCTGTGCTGAGCAGGAACCAAAGGGCAGAGTGGTGGCTTTGTATCACCAAATGGCTGGAAGTGATGCTGGGAGGAGCACGGAGCCATCACACACCAAGCCACAGCCACAACAGGAATAAATAATTTGTTTGTAAAATAAAAAACAACAAAATTTTCATGTATGTGGCCAAATTTGGCCCAAAGAACCTGCAGCAGGTTGGAGTTGCTGTTCCCAGCACTCACCTCTACCAAGCGCCCGATGTTGGCTATGTGGGGCGAGGAGTCACTCACAGTCTCATCCTTCTCCATCTGGAAAGGAAACACACTGAGCCATCAAAAACATGGAAACCTGAGGGGAGCGTGTGGCAACATCCAGGAGGGGTGGGAGAAAGTGGGTCTCAAAAACTCTTTTCTTGTGCAAACAGCCCAGGAGCATGCTGAGACACTCCCAGCACTCGACACAGGCACAGGTTGGTAACAGAAATGCAGTGTAATAAAAACCATGGATGAAAATAAAACCCTGGTGTAGACAGGCCCTACAAAATTGTCACTCCATCCTACTGAGGGGCTGCAGGAGATCTACAGAGGGAACATGTAGCACAAGAAGCTCTGCAGCACGGAGGGTATTAAAGGCTGGTGCTGAGGGGCTGCACACGAGGATGGTGCTGGCAGCGGAGCAGCTATGAACTCTCCCTCAAAAACAGCCTTTTCTTTTCATCTTCATCTCAAACACCACCTCCAATCACACCTGGGGCACATCCTCCACTCTCAGGATCTCCTGGCAAAAGACACCTCAGGCATTATTTCCCTTCCAGTAGAGAGGGAAAGTGCAGGGAATACAAAACTCACAAAAACCTGCAAAGGTGGTGATGATTTAAACTACTGAAATAATGTGGAAAGAGAAATTTGACTGTTTGTATCTCTTTTTTTTCTTTTTAGACAAAAAGCTGCATGAACATGTACCTGATTATTAAGAGGAAGGAAGTACAAAGTAAGTATGGGGGGAGGGAAAGAAGCAGTTTCTTTACTGCCCTTTGCAGTAGAAATTGTGCTCTTTGCAGTAGAAATTCAGAGCTGGATAAACTCAAGTGTATAATGACATCAATGCTCTTAGTGCAGTACCTGAATAGGAGACAGGTCCATGAACAATTTTTCATCCCTAAGATCAAAAAATGGGAGCTGGAACTGCACCACTCGCTTGATTTCATCTGACTTTGTCTCACAGGATGCCCACTCAGAAGCCATCCCTGACCTGTGCTAAGGAAAAGACCATCTTCTCCAGTTCTTGAGGTGAGAACCGTGGCTAAGACATGGACAAGCTGCTGAACAACGAACACCAGTCCCAGAAACCTCAACTGACACAAGGTGTTGCTGAGACGGCACGGAAACAAAACCGGGAGAAAAATGTAGTGGGAAGAACAGTCTTCAAAGGGTTTTACTAATCCCAATGAATTCTCTTATCCATCTGTTCCTATCCCTCCCTCAGGGTAGAGTTTAAAAATCTGGGCCAGTTACAGGTTTCTTCTAATCAGCCAAGTCTGTAACAGGCTTGGGGAAGCGTGTAATTGAGCTGGAAACCCAGAGGCAAGAGATAACCTGCAAGAGGGGGAGAAAGAGCATGAGGATGTTTAATTTTGCCTGTAGACTGCAGTCAGATTGCTTACATGGCATGGAGACACTGCCCGGAGAATGGATCCAGTTGAAGTGGAGGAGGAACATAACTACACAAACACACATGTACATGTCACGGTGAGTTTGGGAACTACCAGCAAACTGCCCAAATCTGGGGCAGTCAGGAGCTGGCAGTGGGTCAGTTCCTTCCATGGGCTCCCTAATGTGCCTCCCACCTGGAAAGGCCAAGCTCCATGGCAAGAAGCAGAATCTGAAAACAGAATTATTTTTTTTTTGCAAAACGTATATTATTACATCTCCATAAAAACTGCTGCCAGAAGGAAAACATTTTCATGTGCTCTCAAAGGCCAGATGTTACAGGAGGCTGCTAAATGGAGTGCAGAGGCAGGATCAGCCTTGTCCTACACAAAGTCAGGTTTTGCTGAGTTGGTGGGATTTTTAGAGGTTCCTTCCAGTGGCTGCTTAAATAAAGGGGTTAATTTGCTTCAAGGGGAAATTCCCCTCTGTAGGTTAATGTTAACAAGCAGCTCATCTTCCCACTGTCACTCCCCATCTGCCCGCTGAGCTCAGCCAAAAACCAGGATGAGCCAAGTCCCACGGACATGGCTCAGTTGCTGCTCTCCCACTGGAGATCCACTGTTGGCTTCCCTGCCTCCTTTCCCAGCCATCTGCTCCCGCTGTGATTCACAGGGAAGCTCACTCTGCTGGGGATACTGAGCTCTCGATGGCTGGTTGGTCATTTTGGATGTTTCCTGCATCAAATAAAACAGTTTTCTGGGCTTTCTGTAAACAGTACTTGGAGAAGTAATACAAAGAGAGAACTTTAAGTTGGAGAAACACTTTGTTCCATCACGAAAGTGCCCCAAAATACCAGGAAGATAGAAGGGAGCTTATCAGCCATTTTGCACCGAAGAACCAACAACATCCACAGCTGCTCTGGCCACAGAGCAATGTGAAAATCCCTTTAATGAAACACAAACAGCCATTTGAGCCAAAGGCTCCCAAAGCCACAGGCAATGGGCAGACTGAAGTCTCCAGGTGGAAAATATGTGGAATTATTTGGATATCAGCAAGGCAAAGTTTGGCCTCTCTCTCCAGCATTTATTTCAAATGTAAGCAGACAAATGAGGGTTGTAAGCTCTGAGGGATGCAGTGCTGTAGGAACCAGCTGAGAACTGACCTAATCCTTTCATGTAGATTTATTCTCACCAGTGTAACCAAAGATATCCCATATCCTGTACCAAACTGTACAGGAGCAAACCTGGGGATGCTACATACCCTCCACATGCCACCAGTCCAGACATGCTCAACTCTTCTACTCCCTCTTTTTCTAAACTATTATATAACTGAACCAATCTGAAATCCATAAGGGACCTTAAAGCCCATCCAGTCCCACCCCCTGCCACGGGCAGGGACACCCTCCACTAGCCCAGGTTGCTCCAAGCCCCATCCAACCTGGCCCCGGGACACTTCCAGGGATGGGGCAGCCACAGCTTCTCTGGGCACCCTGCGCCAGGGTCTCACGACAGAAAAGGGAAGCAGAAATAACTCCCCAGACAATCCCTGGTCAGTACATCCCTGCTGCCCTCTGCATCCCAAAATCCTGCTCAGTGCACTGGACAACTGCTGAGGGGGAGCTCAAGGATCACGAGTAGATCCCACCGGTGAAAAAACACTTCCTGATACAACATCTGGAAGTGGGTGGGATGGGCCTTGACATGAAAGCTGGACTTGATGGAAATCAATGACGCTACCAATTGCTGAGCACAGGGATTTCCCTGGGATGATAAATGGCAGAAAGGCTCTGCTGGCATTTCACTGAGCAGCAACAGATCCCAAGGAACATCCCTCTGCACGCAGGGATTGCTCTGTTTGCACAGCCCAGCCTTCATCCAGCTCTGCAGAACGTTCTTCCGCCACTGGAGCGTGTTTAAAGTTCAAAATTCAACACAGATCTGAGTTGCTTTAATCCAAAATCTCAGGCCTCACATCCCTGTGACTTTATATCCTCCCCTTCCCACATCTCTAAATGTAAATAAACTATAGGTTTGGAGCCAACTTCTTCCTCAGCAAACTTGCACTTCCTCAGTGTTCATCCTGGCTCAGGAAACACACAGGTTCTTTGTGCACAAGGACATCTCAGAAAGGCACCTGTTGGTCTTGCTTTCAAGGGGGGGGTCCAGAAGTCCATCCAGCAAAGTGCAGTTTTGACTGCTTGCCAGAAAATGGGCAGCCTGCATCTCCTTTGCATAAAATGAAACAGGATCACACAGCTGCTCCTACCTTAAAGAAAAACGGAACCTCAGAGTTCAGCCAAAGCCATTTGGTGCCCTGGCAAATGACACAAGTAATTCCAAAGTACACAAAGAGGACAGGACACCCAGGTCTGTCAGGGAAAATCCCCTGCCAGGCATCTGGCTTGAATCAGGAGACGGTGGGAGTTACCTGCAGCCCCTGGAGAAGGGAATGGAAAAGCTGCTGACACAGTTCATTTCCCTGCAAGCCTTGCTCCCTGTGCTATAAATTGAGGCAGTGTGTCCCGTCCTTCCCTCACTTCTAACCGTGGCATGCAGAGGGAGTGTAACACCCCAATCCATCTTTCCCTACCCAAATTCCACCTCAGTCCTTGTTCTGAGTGAATCCTGCCAGTGTTGGGATGTGAGCTGGGAGTTACTTCCTAAACATTCCTAAAAATTAGAACAAACCTTCACTGGGCAAAAGGACAAGTATTGTGCCACACAAAAGGACTTCTTCAGCCATGATCTAATCAAGTGCCCAACATGAACATGTCACTTCAGCTTTAATTCTCTCTTAAGTTTCCAGGACAAAATTACCATCTATGGATCCTACATGCATGGAGTTGGCTAAGAATTGATCTCATCCTCTCAGGATAAAAGTTAATACACGTGCATGAGGAAAAAAGGCAACGCAGAAAGAACCGTGTATTGCAGAATACACCATCTAAGGAATCTTTCTGCTGTGCCTTTTGCAATCGGATATGTCTGTCACGTATTGGCCTCATAAGCCACCAGCGTGCCTGTAGCAAATGTGGATAGAGCCTTCCCAAATCTTCGTTCGCGAAGCCTGGCCATGATATAAATCAATTATGAGTTTTTCCAGAAAGTTCTGGCAAAGGCAACGAAAAGCCCATCTGTGAGGGATGCAGGGCAACAATATCTCACTGGTAGGAAGCGGCAGCAGAGAACATCTATTTCTGGACTCTTAGCCCAGCTCCAAGCTCAGCTCTACCATGACACATTCCAAGAGCTGTTCCTTTGGCCTGTTCCTGGCCACCAAGTTAATCATTCCATCAGCACTCAAGAAGTACCCCATTTGCAGCTAAGAGGCCAAACTGGTTTCAAAGTAATGGCTCTCCCCAGACCTTCCTTTCCAAGCACTGAGAGGTTCCCTCTGCCATCAGTTTGTAAGCCAGGATATGACCAAGCTTGTGAACACTTCAAAAGCTTCCTCTGAAACACAAGGACATCTGCTATTCACATTTTAACATCAAAGGTGGTCAAGTAGCTTAACTGTTGAGTTGACCAAAACCATGTACAATTTACCACAGACAAAATAACTTCAAAATATTACTGATTACTGATATTGCCAAGGTGAAACTGTACCATACCATTCAAGAGGTAACTAAAACCTAATTTTGGTGGCTACATTTCCTGCAGACTGTATAAAAAGCCGATTAAAAAGTAAAAATAAGACTTGTTGTCCTTAGGTGATGTGGCAAACTGGATTTACAGTAAAGTACAAGCCTTGCACTCAGGAGTTTAGTCCAGCTGAATACAAGGCTCCTGCTCACGCTGCACACCTCAAGGCAGCGTGAAGATTGCAGTTGTCTGCCATGGATTCTGTCCCATCAAGCCTTCTGTGGCATCCACAACCAGCAAATCCCCATCCCCACGCTTAAATCTGCCCTCCAGTTTCCATTGTTTGTGCAGGAGCTGAGCATCACCACCCCAACGGCTGGTTCATGGTTACTTACATTGGAAACGGGCCCTGGCTTTAATGCATCACATCTGAATTCAATGTTCTGCTGTTAAAATGATGACAGAAGCATGAATCTCACCACTCCAGCTTTGAGAGTGGAAGTCAAACTAAACAAGGCCCAGCAGTTCAGGCCAAGGTGTACTGAGGACACCCATTCCGCACAGACTCTTGTTTTCCTTGGCTCATCTCACGCTCCAGGAGGCCGTGGCCAGAGTCAAGCCCTTGGCCTGCACTTCACAGCTCTGATTTACACTATTAGCCAGGCCTGGGATTAAATATTTGTCCGGGTCACCATAACTCGGGTGTAATTACTGCAAACATTTTAAAACAGTCAAAAAAAATGGCTCAAAACTGTCTCCAGATGCCTTTTTCCTTCCCCTGCTTTTCCATCAGCTTCTTCCGTGAGTCAACAACATGGAAATAAAAATCACCCAGGTTTAGGGCAAGCTCTGCAGGAGTAACCCAATTTCAGTCCCTCTCTGCAATCACAGACCCTTTTTGCTTGGCTCAAACCTGCACAAACCCAGGAGGTTTTTAACAGAGTCTGCATTGTCCTTTGTATAGAAAAGCCTCGCTCTGCCCTGCGAAGGCTCATAAAGAAGTTTAGCTGCTGCCAAGCTCTCCAGTCACTCATGACCTTACAATGTGCCTCCTGTCCTCCAGAGTTTATTACTCCGCTCGAGTCACTGACTTCCAGAGCCCAGATCTTAAGCAGCCTACCAATTCCTCAGCAGCACAAAGCCTTTGGCAGGTGGGCTGGGGCAGAAGCACCTTCATCCACGGAAGTCCAACCCAGCAGACCCAGAGACTCAGGCAGCAGCACTGCCTGAATTCCCATTAGTCTGGCACCTTCCTGGTGAAAAACAGCTCTCAAGAGTAATTAACACTGGCACAAAACTCTAAATGTTTAGAAGAGATTTATCTTTTTTTTTCAGGAGATTTTTAAAGATCACTATCCTGGTACTGCAGTAGGAAAATAATAAAGACAGATACTAAAAGACAACGCCAAATGTTTAGAAGAGGTTTTTGTTTGGTTTTTTTTAGGAGATTTTTTTTAATTAGTCCTGATACTGCAGGAGGAAAATACTAAAGAACGACACTAAAAGATAACTGATGTGTTTAAGGACAGGAGAATCCTACAGTCAGTGCAAAATACAGGTTTGCTCACGGTGGTTTAACTGGCTTTTAAAAGAGAGACATAACAAAAGAGGTCATCTTGTATTTTTATAATCCTATTGGAATCTTCCAGTAAGAAAGTGGGCAAATCTTATAGATAAAAATATCTGCAACACAGATGAGAGTATAAAAATTTAGAGATACCGGAAGACAAACTAAGACTTAAAAGCAAGTCTAAACTCCTGCTGAATGTTTTACATTCTTAATTGCAAGCTCCACTGCTGTCAAGCACAGCTCAAGGGGTTTTCTGGTAATTACACACTGCATTTACCATTTCACTGGGCTGCAGAACAGTAGAAGAGATGCTTATACAACACCTCACAAACTCAACTTTTTGGGCCTGACTGGGGCTACTGGGTGTGGAACTGGGGAAGGGCATTCCCAGGTGTGCACAGGACACAGACATACCTGTCTGGTAAGGCTCCCTCCCAGGTTCATGGTACCAGAACCAGTTTTATTAGTCTGCAGCCACAGCATCACTGTGGAGGTCAGCTTGTAATGAGCAGTACGGCCACTGGATTTCTCCTGGAAGTGAGAGAACAAAAAGGGATAGAGACAAAAGGTTAAAATCCCTCCAAAAGCTAAATGGGTGCTGGCCTGGCAGACCCCACAAGCAACAGGACAGGTAAGTCTAACCCCACTCACAGAGCACAGTCTGTTTCTTAAGAACAATTCTAAGTGTGCACATTCCTCTAATTTTCTCTAATTTTCCAAAGCACATCTAGTTAGAGCAATTTACCCTCCTATTACCTTGTTTTTATTACCTAATTAGTGATATTTATCTGTAGACCTTTATGTTAAAAAAAAAATAATCTCAGGATCACATGCACAGAAAGTAACATACTTTCAATTCTTCTGGGATTCTTTTTGATTATGGCCCTGACTTATCTCCATCCAAATTGCTTCAAGGCATTTTCAAAAATTAACAGAGGAAAGAAGTTTACAGCCCTGACACAATATTGCATTGTTCAATGAACACCTGTGTTCCTTAATTGTCTGGAATTAACTGGGTTTTGTTTTCACTTGGGTGTATCAACTGCCCCAGAGGCTGTACCTGAACCTCCACCACATGGATAGAATCCCAGCATCCCTTAATCTTCTTTGATCCATCTCCAGCTTTCTTAATGAGGATCACTCCGGCAAAACCATGATCCAGATCCCAGAGGTAGACAGAGGAGACTCCACCTTCAAAATACCTGCAGGATGAAATCCAAGAGGAATGTTAAAAGCAAGCAGGGCTCAAGCCAGAGTCAGGTAGCAATAATAATCTTAAATAAGCAGAATTTCTATGTCCTAACAAAGGTTATTTTTTCTTGTAAGACAGCACAGTCTCACCAGTTACACACCCAGAAACACAGCAGTTCCAATCATTTTATAATGCAGAGACTTTAATTACAAAAAGCCCTGTACATTTCTCTAAAGGAGAATAAAAGTCTGGTGAGAAGCAGAGCTGGTTACAGATTGCTACAGGACCCAAGCAAACAATTCCTCTGATTCCAATTAACTACAACAGCTGGTAAAAGCACGAGCTACGAAGTGGGCAGAGTAAGGTTTTATTTTACAGTTTGGTCTTTCCCCCCCCCCCTTTTCTCTTGCTATTGGCAAAGTTTGGAAGTTCTTTACAACAAAGTTCACTAATTAAGACAAAAGGGAGCAAGTGAACAGCTTTATGGTGCTGCCTCAAAAGTTTGTGTGAAGTCGATTTATTGATTGACTGTAAAGCGAGCTGAACTGAAACCAAGGATCTCAGAAATGAAGGGATGTGTTGAGGTTTTATTATTACAGCTTCACCTACAGGATACAATAAGCCAGACTACCTAAATCTCAGGTTTCTGGGACTAAAAGTACACCCAGAAAACTAACAAAGCAATGCCACCTGCAGAGCCCCACTCCCTCTGGATGACATCAGTGCTGGGCTCCTCCTGTGCCAGGTGGAAAATGCACCTTAAAACAATGGTAATCAACCCAACACTGTTGGAAGAAAGAAACAAAAGGAGCAATTTTGGCTTCTAGAAAACTGGAATTGTAACCCACAGCATTTTACTGTTTCCATTCTCAAGTTACCAAACAGCCCTAAGGAGGATCAAGGAAAAGGGAATGCTCTTCTATGCCCCACAACTCTCAGATCAGGGATGAACTCACAGAACGACCATGTGAAAGGAGGAGAGGCGACTTCAGCTGATCATCAATGACACAATTTTGGTAGTCAGACTTTTTCATTGTCTGGAGGAGAGCAACAGCTCAGCATCCAAAGGCATGAGGAGCTGCCAGGACTGACAGTTCCCAGCAGCTGAGAGAGAGTCAGGCACATTAAACTGGTCTATGCTGCTGCCTCTGATTGTCACACTGACCTGCAAGTGACCACGTTCCTCCTCTTCTGCAAGAAAGGAAAGTATCCTTCATGGCCAACATGGAAAACTCAGTCAATTAATCTTCTCACCTTTGTGCTCCCTTCCTTTCTAAATAAGAGCCTACCAGTTATGAATGACATTTAAAATTCAATTTACTGTGCATTTTGGACTTCTCATATTACTTTGAAGTACTGTGGATCCAAGGACACTAATCCATCCTTCCCACAAGTCAGGAGAAAAGATATTGGGAAGTAAATGCAAATAACACAGGTAACTTTAAGCACATTCTCTGCACCCACTATGTTGTTTCAAGACCACTCCACTATGTTGTTTCAAGAAGGCACAGTCATCAAAGAGCCTCAATTCCCTTTAGTTCCAGGCATCCAAGTTTATACCAAAACCAATGTTGACCTCAGGAAGGAGAAACAACTTCATATCAACTCACCACAGCATTTTATTTTTAATGGGTGACTCTGCTGGGCAGTTCAGTGCCCAACATGCACCCACCATCCTATGACATTTGTCAAGCCACTGATAACACACTACTGGGAAAGGAAAGCCCTTTGCTCCACAGCCATGCCAAAGCCAGACTTCCAAAGGCAACTTAAACCTACCACACCAACAAACACCCTTTTTATATCCTCTGGGGAATTCACAAGTGGATTTTGGTTAATGCAGTTAATGGGAATTCCAGCCTTGCAGCAAACCTCAGTTCCAGTCTCGGTGACCCTTCCTTTGGCAGCGGGAACCAAAGGCCAGAGAACAGCAGTTACTGTCCACTTTCAGACCAAGACTGCTTGAAAATATACATATATATATATATATATATATATATTCTTTTTCATATATAAAGTGAATTCACTCAAAATGAACTGACATCCCTTAGAACATTACAGTGTGTACAGACACCTTCCTAGAGCATGAAACGTTAATTATGAGAGAGATCGAAACAAGGTTTTGGGAAATTTATTCTTACCTACTGTACTTTGATCCTAATGACATGAAACAGGAAAAAAAATCATTTTTTATGTGGTTCACCTTTATGAGATTTTACATAAAGGCTTTTGTGGGTATTTTAAGAATGTGCTAAAATGTTGTCTGAAACCACATAAAACCATGTGAAGAACCTCCCGCCAGAACTAACAGCTCACACATGGTAACGCTTTAACTTGCCTTTGTATATTTAATGAATCAAATATAGTATTAATATTGTTTTAAATACCAACATGCTATTTCAATAAAGCTGCTTTGCCATAGCCAGATCCAGTATCTGGAGACTGGAACAACAATGCCTGTGATTGAACCCGTATGGATCCAAGGCACGCCAGGATATACATTATCCAAAGCCTCCTCTGTGCTTCAGCACTACGGAATCACTCCCAAAACTCACTCCTCCTTCACAGGGAGAAAATATATATCCTTGATCACTCCATTAGATTTCACCTTTCCTCACACAGCACTAAAGTGGGATTTCTAAACCCAGGACAGTCATGATTGGAGAGGGGGACATTCCCTGAAACCTGTTTTCTTAAAAAAAAAAAAAAAGAGGTGCCACAGGTTAATTGGCTGTTCCATAATAGAAAACAGGATGACAGACAGATTGGGAGGAATTTAAATCCACATTCATGAACTTGGATTTGCTGCAGGAAGGCTGGACTAACTCCAAGAACTTCACCACGGACTAATATGCAGCACTTATCCAAGCAGGAGAGTTACCAGCTTGGAAGAGGAAGGCATAAACTGGGATCTTCTCTGTTAAAGAAGCAGATGGGCAAAGCAGAGTACAGGCCACATGCAGGAGTTGCAGCAAAACACTCTTTCCTTGATGGTCTGTTCTGGATGTCCCTGCTCATGGAGCATTAGCCTCCTGCACAACAGCAGCTGGGAAAGGCAACCTGTCTTTTTTGGAAGCTTGAAGCACTGAATTGTTAAGGCTGGATCATCAAAAGTCCAACCATCAGCCCCACCACTAACCCACGTTTACCACTAACTCATGTCCTCCAGGGCCACATCCACATGTTTTTTGAACACTTCCAGGCACTTCCCTGGGCAGCCCACTCCAATGCTTTACAACCCTTTCCATGAAATTTTTTTTCCTAATATCCAATCTGTACCTCCCCTGGCACAACTTGAAGCCATTTCCTTGTTAGCTGGGAGCAGAGACTGACCTCCCACCTCACTGCAACCGGCCCCTCCCAAAGCATCCAAGGAATCAGCAGATGCTTTTGGGATGCACAAGAGGCCTGAAGTAGCAGGAATTCATATGGAGTACCTCAGAAACATCCCCAAGGGATAAACCACTCTCAAAGGACAGCAATTCAAGGCAAAGCAATCGCTCCCCTTCTGCCCAAGAGCATCAATCAACCGAGGATATTTCAATCAGCATCAGTCTGGGTTTACCTAAAGATAAAAGTTTGTTATAAAACAATGAAAAACATTGTTTTATGGTTGCCATATCCCTTAATTACAAGCAAAACACTGATAAATTATATCACAGTTGGGTTGGAAGGACCTTAAAAGATCATCTAGACCAAATGGCATCCCTGTCCTCTCCAAGGACAGCCAGTGTTCTTCCATCTCTGGGAAAATACCTTTTTATAAGGTTGTCCAGGAAGGTGACTAAAAGCTCTAAGGCCCAACATAATCATTCAATCTCTTTGCAGAATTCAGAACAGCCGTTCTCTCAGAATCAATTACAGTTTTAATGTCATGATCAAACACTGAAGTTTTATATCCATTACTCATCAACCACAGAACTCCTGGAAAAAGCTGTTTTATACAAAAAATGTCACACTTAAGACTGACCTACTCAACAAACGCAAGAACAAAAGAAAATCTTTAAGCTAAGAGTGATCCAAAGCTTTATGAAGTGTTTGCAGTTGAAGTGGGTGGAGACACAGGATGGAAACTTGTCTGAGGAACCTGAGTTTTATCCATGAAATAGAGCCTGTGGCCAGAACAAAGCTGTCACTTCAACAGGGATGTGATAGGAGAGGAAATCCCCCAGCCTCCAGCACAGACCTCAAGAAAGGAGGACAGATTAATCACTTTGTTTTACTGCTGAAGGACAGATCAGAAGAAGCCCTGCGACTTTGCCGATCCCACTCTGCTCCTCCCAAGCCTCGCAAACGGATCCCGGACCCCGGACGGAGAAAATGAGTTTCCACCACCCACCAATAAAACCAAGCTCTGACTTTCAATTACACTTCAGAACCAAATCACTCATCTAGAAAAACATTTATGTATTTTCCAGTAAGTAGCTGAGTGCCAGAGACAAAAAGTCTGTGGCTTCTGGCTCTCACAAACCCCTGATGCCAAAGTACCAAGACCTGGAACCTCAGCCTGGCCCGGCAAACCTTCCAAGGGGTTCCACAGGGTTTCAAACTGGTTTGTTTAAAGCAGAAAAATATATTTTCTTTATTCCCTAAAGGTCACATAGTTATTTCTTCCAGCTACAGAAGTTCAGCATAGAAAGGGAAATGTCTCCAGCTATTCAGATCAACAGACTTCCAAGAAAACTGGCATTTAAAATCCTACGCCAAAGGAAAATACTGAGCATTCAGCTACACTTTTTTTACAAGAGTGACAATAACTAAAGTCATATTCATGAGAAGCTGGTATCTAACAGCAACCCAAAACATTCCCTAAACCATGAGGTGAGGTAGTAAACATTCCAACTGTTATGGAAAACAGGTGATTGGAATGGCAAGTGACTTAGCACAACTCTCACTGAGTCCTTCCCCTGTATCTGCACCTTGTCATTTTAAATCAGCACAGGAATCACAACAGAAATATGAAGAAAGTGGCAAATTTTAGCAACTCACCTTCCACCAAACCCAAAACAT